AATGTGAACAGTACGGAGAAACAAAAAATGAAGAAGAGAAAATAGAAGAAGAAAAAAGAAATAAGAAAAAAAAAGAGAGCGAGGTCGGGGAGGTAAGGGGGATTGCAAGAGGGAAAGTAGGAATTTAGCAAAGATGGCTGCTGCTGCTGCCATCTTGCTCTGGAAGGTACCCAGTGAGGTGCGTGTGCGTCTGTGTGTGTCTGTGTGTACGTGTCTATGTTTATGTACGTGTCTGTGTGTATGTACGTGTCTGTGTGTATGTACGTGTCTGTGTGTGTTTAGGAGATACCCAGTGATGTGTGTGTGTGTACACGTCTGTGTGTGTGTGTACGTGTCTGTGTGTAGGAGATACCCAGTTAGGTGTGTGTATGTACGTGTCTGTGTGTATGTACGTGTCTGTGTGTAGGAGATACCCAGTGATGTGTGTGTATGTACACGTCTGTGTGTGTGTGTGTACGTGTCTGTGTGTGTATGTATGTGTGTGGGAGATACCCAGCGAGGTGTGTGCCATGCGTGGTGATTAGTCATCTGTGTTACCGATCTCCCAATGTGCTGCTCCCCCCCGCCCCGTCCTCCTCTGTGTCCTCACGGGAAATTGAGTGGTGGTGGTGGGGCGTGGTGGTGCAACAGCAGATAACAAATTGGACCACCAGCATCCACTCAGTGCCGCATGAATGGACACGAGTGTCTGTACGTGGGGGTCATTATCGCGACGGTATAAATAGATACGCGCTAGTTGTGTACCTGTGTGTGTGTGTGTCTGTGGGGAGCGGTGGTGCAACGGTTAGCGGCTACGCTGCGCTGCGAACACCAGCCGCCCGAGTTCGATTCCCCGCTAACGGCCACCAACACCGACAGTGACGATTATCTGAAACGGTCTTGGGCCTCCCCTAGGTCAACTCGGCCTCAAATGAGTGGTTTGGTGTAGCGGTGTGTAGTAAACATCGCCACTGGGGAGACAAAGGAGGCTGGGCGTGGTTCTGGCCACCCACCCCCTCGTGTGCTGTTCTGGCCTTCATAGGTGCTCGCCAACAGCACTTGCCCCAACAGTCTGTTGAGGCTATACAGTGGATATTTGTCTTTGGTGTGTGCAACCGTGCTATGTGCGTGTGTGTTGAACTTCTTTCGCACCGTACGTAGCCAACCGTGCTATGTGTGTGTTGAATTTCTTTGGCACCGTACGTAGCCAACCGTGATATGTGCGTGTGTGTGTTGAATCAGCTAGCTGGGTAGCCGGCTACAGGGGGCACGTTTTTTCTCGTGTTATCCGTCGAACAATTGAATGTCGGGTTTCAGGTTTAAAAGGCGGGGGACGACATTCGAAAGACATTCAACTGGAATAATGATAATGATGATGAATTAATAAATGACACAGAGACAGCGAAGATGTGGTAGCTATGAATACAGAATCAATGTCATTCTTTCGCCAAAATATAACTTAAATCTTATAGAATACATTCACATATTTGTTCGTAAACCTCGCCATACATATTATGTTGGCATTTGACTGGCGCATGCACCAGCTGCGTTTTACACGCCCGTTGTTGTGAGCGTCGCTCGCTCTTGCCTGCCCTCTGCTGTTGCCGGAGGGGCGACTGACTCCAACCGGCCCTGTAGCCTGCTCAAGGTGCACCTAGCCTGGCACTGTCCAGTAGCAGCGTCCTTCACGAGCCTCCTCCTCCACAGAGGCCGACCTTGACACCGCTGGTACCGGTTATCGGCAAGTCCACTCAGCTCCACGTCCTCCTGTACCACATCAGCTCCATCTTCTCTCTAGCCCGTGCCGCGCCCGTTTAGCCCCCTCTATCAGGCCGAACAAAAAGCTGTTTCGGTATGCGGTGGCTGGGCATGCGGGCTACATGACTCAGCCACACACACACCCCCACACAGACACACCACCACACACATCCATACACCACACTTCTTCACACCAATGCCGGATTGTCCTAGTAGCAAAAGTAGCTACATAAGCTACTTTCAAGGGCCCCGCGCTAAACGCTTTCAAGCTATCAATTCCGGTTGAGTGAATCTGCACTTGCTCTATTACTATAGTACTATACTGCCTTCAACTTTTATGAACGACTGGGTGTTTAAGGTTAGCGATTTGTCGTATTATCTGGCTTTACAGCAAATGAAAAATACAATTATTTGACTATGAAAGTAAAAATTCTTATTTTAATATTTACGTTATAACTTTTTAATTCAGGGCCCCTTCATAACATATGCTACAGGCCCTGCAATAGCTTAATCCGGCACTGCCCCGCACATACCAAAGACAAAGATCCCCCATATAGCCTTAACAGACTGTAGGGGCAAGTGCTGTTAGCGAGCACCTATGAAGGCCGGAACGGTACACGAGGGGGGTGGGTGGCCAGCACCACGCCCGACCGCCTTTGTCTCCCTAGTGGCGATGGTTACACACCGTACCAGGTACTCCTTTGAGGCTGAGTCGACCTAGGAGAGGCCCGGTTCAGATAATCGTCATTGGTGAGCGGGAATCGAACCCCGTGTCGCCGGGTTCATAGCGCAGCGCGCTAACCGCTGCACCACCGCTCCCCACACACAGTCGAACGCCCATCAACCTCGTCCATTCATCCTCCACCCTCTCGCTCAACCACTCTGAGATATTTTATTGGGCGGCTAAAGCCCCCAACGAGCTACCGGCTTCCCCCTTTTTTAAATCCTTTATATTAAGTTCGCTTGCTTGGTTGCGTGCTTGCTTGCTTGCTTACGACCGTGTACGTCTTTCGGTCGTTTTTTAACCCACTTCCCATGATCCAATCGAGTTGACATTTTCCACACAGACTCGTTGTGCGTGACAATTAATGTTCGTGAAAATTTTTTTCCAAAATTTTACACTTTATAGGACAAAAATATTATATTTAATTACCAATTGTTTAATACTGCAGACAATCATCTGACCCATAAGTGGCAGCCATCTCAAGCCAGAAGACGAGAGGACTCTAGCCGCCCCGCATATAAAGGATTTAGAGTGAAAAACTTTGTTTTTACGGGTTTACTTATTTCGAAGTGACTAAAGACAACCAGAAATATCATGGGACCTCCTTTGCCAGTACCAAAATATACTAATAGGGTTTTTCCCCTTTTTTCCCGGCAACAAAACTGACACCTTTTGCAAGGAATCATGTTTACATTAACCACAATACTTGCAGTCAAATGTTTTTTGGGTTAGATCGCTCGAGTATAAATGTTGTGTCGTAACCCTCCACCACCCCACACGGCCAAATAGTAAGGGATTTGTAAAGTAGTGTAGAGTGTAGTGTAGAATGCAGTGTGTAGTGTAGTGTGTAATGTAGTGTATAGTGTAGTGTGTAATGTAGTGTGTCGTGTATAGTGTAGTGTAGTGTGTCGTGTAGTTTATAGTGTAGAGTATAGTGTGTAGTGTGTAATGTACTGTGTAATGTAGTGTGTAGTGTAGTGTTTAGTGTGGTGTATAGTGTAGTGTGTAATGTAGTGTGTAGTGTATAGTGTAGTGTATAGTGTAGTGTATAGTGTCGTGTGTAGTGTAGTGTATAGTGTAGTGTGTAGTGTAGTGTGTACTGTGTAGTTTAGTGTAGTGTGTAGTGTATAGGGTAGTGTGTAGTGTAGTGTGTAATGTAGTGGTAGTGTAGTGTAGGTATGTAGTTACTACTTCAGCCCACCGGTTTGTGTTGGAGAGCAAATCCACAACATTCACAATTTGAGTAGTATGACGTTTTGCTGGTATTACATCAACCCAGCATCATCGGGCGATTTGCTAGAGTCTGTCACAGGCTACACGCACTAATGGGGATGTCCTTTTGTCTCTGTGTGTGCATGTGTTGGTGGGTGTGTGGGAGCGGTGGTGCAAGCGGTTAGCGCTACGCTGCACTACGAAACCGGCGACCCGGGTTCGATTCCCGCTCACGGCCAACACCAGTGACGATTCTCTGAACCGGTCCCGGGCCTCCCCTAGGTCGACTCAGCCTCAAATGAGTACCTGGTGCGGTGTGTAAACATCGCCATTGGGGAGACAAAGGCGGCCGGGCGTGGGGAGCTGGACAAGCCCCGCTTTGTACCAGCGTGGACGGCACCCTCGTGTTCATCTTCTGAAGCGCTCGCTCGTCACCGTGGCGTGCGCGATGACCACCACCACCACTGCCACCACCACGTAGCATTTCTTTCGTGTTGTGCGTGGTGCATTTAGCTCCACAGCACGTGGATTTTTCGCGTTTATTTGTTTTCTGGTGACTTTGTGTGTTTCGTATCGGAATCGCCTCCAGTGCTGTTGCTGCTGGCGGCAATAAAAGTTGTTTAAAAGTCAAAAGTCTATCTTTCTCTCTCTCTGAGCCTAGGGCATGGGTTTTCCCGAACACCAAAGACAAATATCCCCCGCATAGCCTGTAACAGACTGTTGGGGCAAGTGCTGTGAGCGAGCAGCAGCACCTATGAAGGCTAGCGGCGCTGTGGCACACAATGGGGTGGGGTGGCCAACACCACGCCCGGCCGCCTTTGTCTCCGACGACCGGATCAGATAATCGACCATTTTTTTTGGCCGTGATTTGGAATCGAACTCGGGACACCGGGTTCGCAGTGTAGCGCTAACTGCTACACCACCGCTCCCCCAATACCATCGCCACCACCGCCGCTACCACCACCACCAAGCTCCCGTCTCTCCGCATGTACCAATCTCGTAACAAAAAGAGGTACACTTATTTTTGAAGCATTCTTTAAATAATTAAACGTCACGAAATATTACAGGAGCATTTGCTTCGCAACGCCTGGACAGGTTCCATATGTATCGTACGTAGCCAACCGTGCAATGTGTGTATGTTGAACTTCTTTCACACCGTACGTTACCAACCATGCTATGATTGTGTATGTTGAACTTATTTTACACCGTAAGTTACCAATCGTGCTATGTGTGTGTGTGTCGAACTTAATTCGCACCGTACGTAGCCAACCGTGCAAACCGGAAGTGCGGCGCTCATTACACATGGAACGAGAGGGAGAAACACTGTTCAACTGTCCCGCCGTCCTACGACGCCATTCCCAGGATGCACCTTGCTGCGGAACATCCCGGCGATCGCCCGACGGATCTTGGCCGTGCAGAGGCCGTAGATGATCGGGTTGAGCGCCGGCGGTAGGATGAAATGCGCCAACTGGAAGAACATCTTGATGCCGACGGGCAGCGACTCGACGCCGATGAATCCCTTGACGAACGAGAAGAGGATCGATGTGTAGTAGACCGAGACCACCAGCAGGTGGCTGCCGCACGTTCGCAGTGCCTTCCGGTAGCCGTCTCGCTTGCAGCACTCGTTGAGGATGAGCGCGTACATGAGGCAGATGAAGCCGGCGGGCAGCACGACGGCGACCCGCGAGCATGGTGTAGGAGTAGCGCACCGCGTGCGTCACGTCGCCGCACAACATGTGCAGCACGCTCAGGGCGTCGCACACGAGCGACGGGTTGACGAGCGGCGCGCACGCGTCCATCGCCAGCAGCAGGTAGATGTTGACCAGCCGAAGGCGAGGGCCAGGAGCGTCGCGGCGGCGACGGCGGCGAGGGCGCGAGCGTTGGACGCGATGGCGCGGTACCTGAGCGGGCGCACGACGGCCAGGCAGCGGTCCAGGGACATGGCGCTGAGCACGAAGCTCTGGACGCGCGTGGCGAAGTGGACGAAGAACATCTGCGACATCGCCTCGCCGAACGCGATACGGTTGAGGCCCAGCGCGTTGGCGATGACGCGCGGCAGGCTGGCGGCCGACGAGACGACGTCGGAGGCGGCGATCGCCGCCACGAAGATGAACATGGGGCGGTGGAGGCGGCGCTCGCTCGCGACCGCGAGGCCAATGAGGCCGTTGCCCGCGAAGGAGATGAGGAAGGCGGCGGCGAGGACGGCGACCGCGAGGCACCGAGCGCCCTCCGAGTCGAACACCGGGGGCACCATGAGGACGACCCCCGAGGCGTTGCCGAGGAGAAGCGTCCGCTGGTGGACGAGCGACGACGCCGTCAAGCTTTGTTGTTTTGGCGGTCGTCGGGTGACCGGTGCGAGAGTGGGCGGGGGGGGGGTTGGAGGGGAGGTGGAAGTCAGACAGGTGGGGGAGGGGTGTGGTGGAAACAAAGGGGGTTGGGCGGATCGCATGGATTGTTTTAAATGCTCTCAAAACCCGCTATGAGGGGGGGGGGACTACGAGTGGCCAAACGGTGGCAGTTGAGAAAGTGGGTTCATGACCACCGTTTGTAATAGCGGAGCTTACGCCGTGAAGCAAAAACTGGCCAGTATTGGTTGTGGTGGTAGCAGTGGTGATGGGGGTGGGAGTGGAGTTGGTGGTGGTGGTGGAGGTGGTAACGCTGTGGTGAGCAATGCCATGGGGAGAAGTCCAATTTCAATTTGGGTCTTCTCCTCGTGGCGTTTGTAGCCACCACATTGCCCAATAGGGGCTCTCTGGATGTGTGCGAGGGGCTGGTAACCCCTCCACCTTCAAAAATATCCCACTAAGTTTGTGTCGGTAGCCCCGGAGGGACAGGCGTCTATGACGTCTCCTGACCAAACTCCATTTAGTGGAGGCAGGAGATTGAACTCTTACCCTCGGGGTTCTTCAAAAAACGTTGAAGAATACACTGCGAGTGGCCACGTGGAATGTTCGAGCACTCACTGCAAGAGGAGAGGCTGCCACTCCTTTGTCGGGAGCTGGACCAGTACCACATGCATCTCTGTGACATTCAGGAGGTCCAGTAGACCGACTATGGCTACAGTCACCATGAGGGGTGCACAGGCCTCCACTCTGGGCAGGAGACTGCTGAACAACAGGGAGTGGGTCTTCTTTTGAACAAAATAATGAAAGGGGTGTAGGAGTGTGACGGTGAGGTGTAGGAAGCTGTAAGCCCCAGGTGACTGTGGACTCGCTTCCCTATTAACGGGAGGCTAGGAATGGGGGTGGTGGTTGCTTATGCCCCCACTGAAGATGAACTTCATTGGAAGGATTCAGGCAAGGCCGATGAGTCAGATGCCTCCTATGGCCTCATGTCACAGGCGCTAGCTGAAGTGGTCCCTTGGGAGGGAGTCATCCTGTTGGGTGACTTGAATGATCGAGTGGGTCATGATGCTGGCACCTCGTCGGGAGTGATTGGAAGGCATGTTCCAGATCAGTCAAAGGCTGCTATACTTCTGTGGAGCCTATGGGCTGTATTACTAACACGATGTTCCGGCATCGGCGCATCCACACAACATTTTGGAAGCACTCCGGGTCCAAGCAAGAACATCTGCTGGACTATATAGTGATGGAACAGCGGATGTGGGCCCATGTCCATGACACAAGGACCCACAATGGATGCTGATCTGCCCACTGACCATCGGTTTGTCATTGGTAAGATGCGCCTGCCATTCTTCCACTTCGGATGTGGGTGTCTATCTAGGACCCCATTCAAACACACCGTGGCCTGGTCTCAGATATCTGATGAAAGTTGCGAGTGAGAATTTCCTCATCGCATGCAGCTAATGGGAAATGGGCGAGATTTAGGACTGTGGCTCATGCAACTGCAAATGATCATTTGAGTACATGGTCCAAAGCTGCCCAGCGACGATGGCTGACGCAGGAGGTATTCTGGCTGAATGAGAAAAAGCGACAGGCACATTCCCAACGTCCATGGTATTCAATGTTGGAGAATGAGGAGGCATACTGCAGCCTTCACTCGGAGGTTCGGAGCGTCGTGTGGTGCTGCAAGGATGAGTGGTGGTCGCAGGTTACTGAGGGAATGCCTCAGCAGCTTGCGATCACAAATTACTCTTCAATTCCATCAATAGAGTAACTTGCAGAACCACGCCTATCACAAATTTTAGGAGAAAGAAAGACGACCCGATCTCCGACCTTCAGGAACAAATTTGAAGATTTGCTGAGCATTTCTTTGAGGTCTAGGGATGATCCTGCTGAGGCTGCGGTGCCTCAAACATTGGAAGAAGTCGTCACCCCCCTGTGAGTGGCTATCTGATGTGATAACTGGTACCAGCAGTATCAAGATCGGCCTCTGTGGAGGAGGCTCGTGTAGGATGCTGCTACTGGGCAGTTCGAGGAAGTCGCCCTCCAGCAACAACGGAGGGCAGAGGAGCAAGCTCACAACAACAAGCGGAGCCCTGGGTGGCTAAAACACTAGCAAGTTGCCATCGTAGGAGGGGCATAGGTGGTGCATCGACCAGTCATCTCTGTCACTCTGTCACGCACCTGAGTTTGTCCCGTGACCTCCTGCCACCGGGCATTTAACACTTCACATCGCCTTAAAGTGCATATAGCATGGCACAAGCGCTGTGGTGATGTCACCGCCACTTAGTGGCGAATGACAATTGTTGTTGGTTGTGGTGGTGGTGGAGGTGGTGTTAGTGGTGGAGGTAGTGGGAGTGGTTGTGGAGGTGGTGGTTGCTACGTTGCTGCTGCTGCTGCACGTGTCTGACTGTGGGGGTTGGTGCATCACACAAGGATGGGTTTGTAGAACTCCCTTTCTACCCGTGGGTGGACGTCGATGAGGAATCGTACGCCGGGTTATGCCAGGTAGAAGGCGGCGCAGCAAGTGGGACTAATCTCCATCTGTTCCATCTGTATGGAGGTGGGGGGGGGGGATAGAGCGTTACCCTCTCGTGCAAGGCTATGATTGTCTCCAGGTGCTTCCTCCTCCACACGTGAGTAATAATATACATGAAGGAGGAGACACATAGAACTAAACTATACCGTTATACTCTTCAGTTCATTCAGCCACTGTCTTTCCGACAGACCTGTTCTTCACCTGAGGACGGCTGCTTACGTTGTGGCCGAAACGTCGTGAGAATTATGTTATTATGTTAATTTTTTATTATTTATTATTTCCCTTCTACGTGACTTTACCGAAAGAACAAGAAGATGAATCCCTGCAGTCACGAAAGCTTTAAATCTAAAATATGTCGGTGAAGTCACGTAGGTTTGAAATTAAAGAAATCACGACGTTTCGATTGCAACACAAGCAATCATCATCAGGTGGGAAAACCACAGCATTATTTTTTTTTCTTGCTGTGGTTTTTCCCACCAGATGATGATTGCTTGTGTTGCAATCGAAACGTCGTGATTTATTTTATTTTATCTACCTACGTGACTTTACCGAAAGAACCAAGGAGTATGGATTCCTGCAGTCACGCAAGCACAAATCTAGATTATGCCGTTCAATTTATTTTACCAGGTAAGGCCCACTGAGCTATTCATTATCACGGTGGCTTGGAGATGTTAACTACCTCGCCTGGTATGCAGGAGGTCGGGGGTTCGATCCCGGATCCTGACGATGCCTGCTGCTGCTGCTATATGTGGAGTCTGCGTCTCTCTCTCTCTCCTCATCATCACGGTGGCTAGGATATGTTAATGACCTCGCCTGGTACGCAGGAGTTCGTGGGTTCGATCCCGGATCCTGACGACGCCTGCTGCTGTATATTTGGGGTCTGCGTCTCTCTCTCATCATCATCACGGTGGCTAGGAGATGTTAATGACCTAGCCTGGTACGCAGGAGGTCGTGGGTTCAATCCCGGACCCTGACGAAGATGCCTGCTGCTGTACATTTGATTTTGACGCGACTCGTCCACAAGTGATAGCTCAACGAAGTGGTTCATCGGTCTCGTGTGGAAATTCACAGCAGCCAAATACTCTAAACGGATGTTTCAAACATGTGGAGGGAAAACTCGGGAGACACGCAAACTCCAAATATACAGCAGGCGTCAGGGTCGGGATCGAACCGACTGCCTCCTGTATACCAGGCGAGGTAGTTAAAATTTCGCCTCTGTGGCACCCATAGATCACAGAGAGACCCATAGACTCTCTACATGGAGAACATAGACTCGCAAAGAGACCCATAGAATCACCTAGAGACCAATACACTTACACGACGAACCATAGTTTGACACAGTCCCATAGACCTTACAAAAACATCCATAGATTCACACAGAGACTCACAGACTCCACAGAGACCCGTAGAACCACACATAAACCTGTAGACTCACACAGAGAGCCATAGATTCACACGAAACCCATAGACTCAAACAGAGACCCATAGACTCACAAAGAGACCCATCGACTCACACAGAGACCATGGACTCACATGAAGGCCCAGTTGTAGTGAATCGATGATGTCGATCACCCAAATTTCTACACACAAAAAAACTCCGTTACATTAAAATCGGCTCGGCATTTCTAATTTGACGAGATCAAGAACAGGGCGGGGGGATGGGCTTGATGGCCGAAATGGCGAGCGATGACCGGTGTGGTGGTGGTGGTGAGCGATGAGAGGGGTCCCACGTTTGGTTGAAGGGAAAGTCTGTTGTATTTAGTGGTGTATAGTGTAGTGTACAGTAATGTATGTGTAGTATATAGCATGGCTTGTGCAGTGTATAGTAGTAAATAGTGTAGTGTCTAGTGTAGTGTATCGGGTAGTGTGTGTAGTGTATAGCATAGTGTGTCCAGCAAACAAACAGTCTGAGACCAGGAAAAGCACCGGGTAGAGATGATCTCCCAAATGAAATGGCGAGCGAGGGTGGCGTTTGTGCACAGACTGCCCTACAAGACATCATAATAACTGTCTGGACCACTGGACGAGTTCTGCAGGATTGGAAGGATGCCCTGGTCGTCCCCATCTTTAAGAAAGGGGACCGCACAGACTGTAACAACTACAGGGGCATCTCACTCCCGCAGTGTGCCGGGAAAGGTCCTGGCAAAGATTATTCAACACTCACCGTGCCAGGCACGCTGAGAAGAGACTTGCGGAGCCCCAATGTGGTGTCTTGTCCCATCGCGACAGCAGACGGTCTATGGAATTGCAACAAGACCTACATCTCTGCCTCATTGACCTGGTCAAAGCCTATGATACCATCAGGAGGCCTGGGCTCTGGGTTGTTCTTCATCCTGTTGGAGTCCCCGACTCCTCTGCTCACAAGCATTAATA